GGGATCATGGTGGTGGGGCCTCGGGTGATTGCACGGAAGGACTTAGAGAATACCGAGCTTCAAATATTGGATCCGGAGGCTTTTCGAGCCTTTCAAGCTGTCGCAAACATTAATGTAGATGCCACATCAGTGGAGGAGCTCTACTCTGACGAGAACGAAGATGTGATAAAGAGGAAGTGAAGAGAAGCGTACGGAGATATGTGACTGGCACATGCGTTATCGCTCGCAGAGGAAATCTCAGTGACACTTGTTCTTGTTTTTCTTTCAAACGAGAGAGAGATATGTGTCCCCTTTTCCATTTATATGAGTAGATTAAGGTTTTGAATTAGCGCGTACGATATGCGAGAGTTGACGTTGAATCCTTGGGCATTGCGGGAAGCCTCCAAAATGCTATCTCCTGGAGAGTATCTCTTTCTGGTGTCTACAGTAAGATCCAATTAGGTTACGTAGCTTTAAGGCAATTTTATCACGTTCTTGCGGATCCGGATTACATGGTGCTTCCTCTGAGGCTCGTAGTCTCGTAATTCTACATGGAAGGTAGGTGAAAACATGTTGGGGCAGGAGACATCATTCGGCCCAGTTTTTTATTGTTAAATACGACATAATCAACTATATTTTTCCAAGTCTATAATCCCCACGAGCACATGCTGAGAGGCACTTCCACCCTCGTCATTAAGTGAGTGAGTGTCTTCGACATACCACACGATAACCTCCCCCCCCTGCTAAGTAGTCAGTCACACATTTCGACAGCAGGGGGGAAAAGGGAATGGGGAATGCAGCAAATGCATCTTAGGCCCCCGTCAGCGTGACAACTGTAGCAGGACTGCCTGTAGCAGGACTGCAGCAAAGCCTGCGTGCTGGGCCAAGTTCAGGCGAAGATGATATCTAAGTGTAACTTCCTCGCTAAGAAGGAAACCTACAAAACTTCGTCAGTGAACCTTTCATGAATGTTGGCCCGCTGTCCTTCCTCTGAGTTCTTAAGTACCAACGTAGGTGCCTCGAGCTCTCTGGCCTCTATCCATGGCTTCGAGACACTCCTAACTTGTCGCTTTAGTGAAAATATTTGACAAAAACGGCATGGCATGCCCGCGTACGGGCTTCGTGCTGTCCACCGCCGGAGCTCGCTGATTTATCAGCGTCAACTAGACATATGACATGGAGGACGAGGGACAGGCTTGCCTTTCTGTGTCTCGAGGCCATTCCACATAGCTTCTGTGGTGACGCTTTCATTCTTATTTATGACTTTAACTATTCCAATTTATCTTTTGGGCCTTTCCTCCAGTCACGTGGTCTCACCGGAGGGCCATGTACTCATTGCTGCTCCTCGCCCTATCGGCAACATCGTCTGCAGCTTTGCACCATGCACCAGAACAAATCCACATTGCTTTCGGTAAAACGCCGGATATTGTCGCCGTGCAATGGTCTACCCGCGTGCTGGAAAGGGCGGAAGGAGGCGGCCCAGAGGGGCAGCAACCTCGGTCATTCGTGTACTGGGGAAAAGACCCCACCCATTTGGATGAAGCGGCGGAGGGCCTGAGCATCAGTTTCGTCGACGGAGGAGCACGCAAACGACAGCAACAGCACCACGTGGTGAACATGACGGGTTTGGAGGCTTCCACTCGGTATCACTATCAAGTAGGCGATCCGGCCTACGGGGGCCTCTCGCGTCTGTATTCCTTTAAGACTGCCGCCGACGCCGTCACCCTCGCAGACGACCTGCCCATCCGGCTGGCCATTTATGGCGACATGGGCGTGGACAAGAATGGGAGCACGGTGGTTCGCCACCTCTTGGAGCACATGCACGGGGACCCGGACTATTTGGACGGCGTCTTGCACGTGGGAGACTTCGCCTACGACATGGATGAGCGCGACGGCGTGCAGGGGGACCTCTTCATGCGTCAAATCGAGCCCGTGGCAGCCAGGCTGCCGTACATGACTTCCATGGGCAATCATGAGAAGGTGAGGTGGGGTGGGAAGGGGAGGTCTAGCGAAGTAGAGGGACCTGGCGGGATCGATCTTGGATTCGCGCCGCAGTCTCCTCCTGTGTCCCTCCCATGGCCCCATTCAGTCATTCCCCTATGCTATCCTGACGACTCAATGTCTTCGTGTCCTGGACATGTCACAGGCATACAATTTCTTGCACTACTCGGAGCGCTTCCGGAACATGCCTGTGTCTGATGGCGAGGTGGCTTCCGCGAACGGGCCCCCGGCTCCCAACAACTGGTAGGGCGAAAGGAGCGGCAGGGGAATGGGAAAGGATGGAGTACGAATAAGAAATTGTGCGGGAGCCCGAAAGAGTAATGGAGGGGAAAAGAGGGACTGTTGCTGGACTAAAGGGTGAGGAATATAAAGGAAGGCTGTGGTCACATGGGGGGCTTCGAGCCAAGCCTAAGGAATGTGGACGCAATGCTATGCGCGATGGGAGAATGAATGTGCAGCTCTAGAGTGATCGGTGCTACGGCGACTTTATTCGTCAGGCGTGGGGCCATACCTCTGTTAACGCCCTCCCTCCCTCTCTCCCTCCCTCCTCCCTCCCTCCCTCCCCCTTGTCCTCGACTGCCTGCCTCAGGTGGTACTCCTTCAACATAGGACCCGTCCATTTGGTGGCCGTCTCGACCGAGATATACGACTTTGGACCTTACGACTACATTCCCCGACAATATCAGTGGCTTGGTAGGACCCTGTGTCCGTCCTAGAGTTCCCCCCCCGAAGCCGCTCCGGTCCCTCACTGTCGCCCGTGATGTCTCACGTTGTTTTGATGCCTCGACGGCACAATGACGATGCGATAGTATCAACGGATCGCACCGAAGGATGGTCTCAGGGGCGTCCTCGCTTTCATACTCCCTCCCTCGCTTGTCCTCACTTCTCTCCCCCCACCTCTCAATCCATTAAATCCCAGAGAAAGATCTAAAGGAGGCGAACGCCAACCGCACGCTTGCCCCTTGGATCATCGTCCACGGCCACAAGCCTCTGTACTGCTCAAGTCCCACGCCCGCCCAGTGCGATAATTGGTACCGGAGCCAGCGGGAGGGTATCCCCCTCCGGCCCGAGGCCTCCACGACTGCCGAGATGCGAGGCGACGGCATAGATGCCTCCCGCTTACGGGGGAAAGGGAGGAAGAGGAAATGGGGTTTGGAGGAGCTATTCTACACGTACGGCGTGGACCTATATTTCTGCGGGCACGAACACAATTCGGAGCGCCTCTTCGACGTGGTGAAGGGGGAGACGGGCCGCCGGACCCGCGACATGCAGGGGACCACGTACATCGTCACGGGGGCCGGGGGCAACCGGGAGGGGGTCACGCCCTTCCTCTCCCAGGCCCCGGCGCGGGTGGCGAGTCGAGCGGAGGTGTGGGGGTACTCGATCTTGGAGGTACACAACGCCACGCATGTGTACTACGAGCAGCGGGCCTGCGACCGAGGGGAGGGGAGGGAGGGCGAAGGGAGGGTGAGGGACGAGGTGGTGGACAGCGTGTGGCTTGTGCAGCATGCGCACGGGCCGTTTGAGGGGTTAATGGGTGTGGGCTCGGGAGAGGGAGCGCTCCGGGAGAAGGGAAGTCTGGCGGTCGCCTAAGGTTCCTCCGAGAAGCATGGGAGGGGCTTGGACGGAGGGAATCGGTGGAGGGAAAGGCGTCCCAGCTCTTTCCGTGGACCCGGGCTGTACAGAGAGGCGGTCTCTGTCGTGGTTTTGTCAGCGCAGACGTGCGTGTGTTCTGGCCTCGGCCCTCCGGTCGACCCTGCCAGACCCATACTCCCTCTTGATTGGCGCGGAGCCTCGTGGGCGGGAACCACACCGCCAGCCGCGCTGTCGGCGTCTCAGAGAAACCAATTTTGCTCGAAACAACGCGTTTTTGCATGTCCCGTTTACTTTATTTGCTTCATTACATCTTCACAGTTCTTCCTCCTCCTCTTCCTCATTCTCCTCTTTATTTCCCCCTCCGTGCCACCCACCGCCAGTCCATCCCTCCCCATCCACCTCCTCCCTGACCCACGCCTCCTGCGGAAGGACCTGCCAATGCGGGGAAGCCTGCGCGCGCAGCCACTTGAAGTCCTTGACCTCGCGCCAGGCGTTCTCCGTGCCGCCCAAACCCGCCTCCTCCACTTGCTCCTCCCTCCCCGGGTAGGCCAATGCCCAAGGACCAAAACACAGGCGGTCGCAGTCCTCGATGATGGGCCCGGCGACGGTGTGCACGTACAAGGTGGTGTCGTATGTTCGATGGATGCGGAGCTGTCGGCTAGCCACGTACAGGGTACAGCCGATACAGTCCTGCAGGTAGACGGGACCCGCCACCGGGCCGCACAAGAGCTTGCAGTCCCTCAAATTCTCACAACGGAGGAAGTGGAGCGGAGAGAGGAGGGAAACGGTGCAGCGCGTCAAATCTCGGAGTAGGAGGTCCTTGGGAGGACCCTCTGTGCCCTCGGAGGTGAGTTGGCCAAATGTAAAATTGGCGTCTGCGGCGGGACCAAAACCCGGCATTGCGCCTGATAAATTGGACGCACCTGCCGCGGACAGGGAGGCATCTGCAGCATATTTGGGGGGTACCGCAGGCAATGGGGCGGTAGGTGTGGCCGGTCTTTTATCCAGGGCCCCCCGGTCTCTCGGTCTGCTTCCCCCCCTCCCTCCGGCCTCTGCGACCATGTCAGTACGCCCGTGACCCTCACTCACCATTAAAGAGCTTGTGACGCTTGCCGTGCGCCGTCGTCCTGCAAAAGTGAATCTTTTACGAGGCATCAGCGCTGTGCGCACTTCTTCCAATTTGCTACGGAGGCTCTCTGTTTCCTCCTGGGCCCGTCGCACGTCGTACGGGGGCAGAAAAAGGGCAGTATTTGAGACCAACTGGTCAAGGGACTTGATTTTGGTATCCATGCGAGAAAGTGTGTCGTCCACATTATCTGCCCGGCCAGGGCCAGATGAGATGTTCGTATCTGCATGTTCTTCCGAAAGCAGCGCGTTCAACACCTGAACTACGTCGTCATACGCCCGACGGAAATCCGTCCAAAAATACCCTACAGATTCCTTTGGGTCCTTAAAGTCTTTTTCTTTGGCTTTCGTGTCCTTGCGAGCTTGCAATCGGGCTTCTTGATGTGCGCGAAAGCGTGCGTCAATTTCAGCATGCCGATTTTTCGACTGCGGCGTGAGGACTGGGGGCACCTCTGCAGGAAAAGCATGTATTTTCTCCATGGCCGCGGAAGAGACTTCCCAATAAGGAAGTGATTCTCTGTCCGTGTTCGTGCGATCGTAAGAAGGGGTTAGACCATCATTTTTCACAGCCTATCTCCGCTGTCCGTCACTGCATTTTTTTTGGGCGAGGCTTTTCCCATCCTCTTCCCGACCGTCACGCACGGAAAAAAATCCGTGCGGTGGCGGGGATGAATATGCTTTGTTTGACCCGATAAGTCGATTTCAACATCTGGATTCCCCTCATTCATCACGCCATATTCGCATATGACTAAGTTTGCCATGCGATGCGCGGGCGCTCGTGGTTGTGGAGCGCTAGTAGAGGTGCAGCAGCTTGGATCAGATCTTGTATCATTCTGTCGCTTTATTTATTCCTCCGTATGCCAATCCCGCTGACTATTGAGATATCTTTGGTTTTGGCACGGGCCTGTGGTGTCTTATTACGCTCAGAGTATGCTTGCCCTTAATGTTTTAGTGTACAGACATGTAGGGCAAAATTTTCATGTGTCCGGTTGGGCGTGAGTCTATCTTCCATTTCACCGGCAGAGGAGTGCCAAAACAACGCGTCGTCACCTCCACCTCCTGATCTATATACGCAAACACACCAATGCTCGAACACAGGAGGAATTGTGTCCGTATTTTTGTCGTCAAGGACAAACGTCGTCCTATCACCATGACCTGCTTCTTCCGATTTCTGGGTACGTGCTGTCGAAGAGTGACCGGGCTTTGGTTTGTGAGGTGTACAGGCAGAACTTCTACGACTGCCATGAGCCAACCTCGGAAGGCATATGCACCATGTGCATGGCCATGTCATGGGTTCTCACTTTCTTGTTTGACCCGATCGTTCGGCCATCATGTGGTTGTCTTCAGCTTGCGTTTCGACCCTTTACATTTCCTCTACCTCCCTCTCCATGCACGCGCAGGGCTGGGAATGACCATAGCTCCCGTCGTCCTCATGCTCACATGTCTTCTGGCCAAAGGTACGTTTAAGCTATCCTGATGGACTTATTTGAAAGCCACGTAATTTCCCAGTTCCACGTGTTAAACCACCCGGAAATCCTTCGTCTCCTTGCCAGACTGGACGAGTACTACGGCCAGCCTGGTGAAGATCGATTCCCACGCAGAGATATACGAAGATGATATCGACTTCCACATGGGGCCTTTTAGAACATTCATGGAAGTCACGCAGGGAGATGAAGAGGTTTTTTCCAAGAACACCTACCCCTGGTGCACTCAGGATGCCTCCACACTCTCCCATTCTGCGGACCGGCGCCTGTGCTCGCTCCTTCAAGGCGTACAAGCCACTAGCGTCCTCGCGGTCATCACGGGCGGCATTGCCTTCCTCCTATACTGCATGTTAGCCTTCCGCTCCCTCAAAGGCGAGTACGTGGCCCGGACAGCCCGCGTCGCCATGAGCCTGCACATCGCCCAAGCGGTCTTGGCCTTCCTCAGCCTGGGTTTATGGCTGGCTCTCATGCGTGTCTATCAGTCCTCCCTCCAGTCCTCCCTTGGGCCCAACTTTGCTGACTTTTCGTTGCCGCACGGTCGGTCATTTTACCGCGTGGTCATCGTCGGGATTCTGGCCCTGGTGGCGGCCGGGGGGCTGCACACGATGGCGGGTCGCTCTGTGAGTGCCATTCAAAAGAGGGAGACCATTGCCCGAAAACGGAGCGAGTTCGAGATGAAGGAAGCGGCAGAGGCTGCGAGAATGCAAGCAGAGGAGGAACTGAAGGTTGAACAGCTTGTGTAACACCTCTTTTGGAAGTGCATCAAAATAGTTAAGCTAGGGAGCTAGCTGTCTCCAGGAACACGGTGACGAGTTCTACGTCAGAGGCTGGTGTTCGTTTCCATGTCTCTATTTTGCGTGTGCACACATTTTGGGGAAAGAATGAGTCGTGGGGACTGATTGTAGGCAGAACAATGGCAGCATGAGACGAGCGACCGCACTCAAATAGGGGAAGTGCGAATTTACATATGTTGCACTCTCCGTAACCAGCCATTGCATGCTTGATTGGAGAAAGCGCAGAGCAACTGATGGTAGAAAGGAACGTTGTGATGTTAGGTCAACCGGAAAGACTCTTGAGGTGACTTAGAAGCGGAGTGACATTTATACACACCATTTTTCATATCAAACTGATACGTCTCTGACAATCGGGTTGCAGTGCTACTATATCTGACGGGCACGACAGAGAAAAATGACTGGTAAAAGAAATATGCACGACAGCTGGGTCTCAATCAATTTGTGCATATTGGTAGAGTGTCCTCCTGGATGGCACGCCTGATTTTTTCAAAATGCAAAACCAAAAAGCGGGTCTCGTAACCTCCCCACCCCCAGCGGATGGGGCGAGGTCCCCCGTACACAGCGTGGATGGATGGCTTTTCACGGAGGCGCGTCTCTGTGACCTTTGTCAGAAACTAATCGTTTCCCTCACCCTCTGGAGCTGGGCGTGACTGATTTTCCACGTTCTGCACGCTTCAGGCACGCATTGTGGGACCTGGAGGCAGGGGGGGACGGGGAAGGAGAACATTCAGTCCTTCCAAAGCGATGGGGCTTCAACCGGGATTGGAAAGGCCCACCTTCCGGCGACCTATTTTGCCATCCTACCTTTATTTCCTCCTTTTCTCCATGCAGCCAATTATCGCCACGAGTTTCTCCGCAGGCACTCTCACCAGCCTGACACCTCAAAATCCCCCTCCCCCTGCCAGTGGGGTGAGCGTGAGGAAGACACCACGGCAGTTCCTAATGGAACGCCCTCCCGGTCCTTACACATGTTTGCGGGCTCGAGACGAGTCTCTACTAGGTTTTGACTTTCATTTCCAACGATTATTGCACGGGATTGAGTCCTCGGTCGGGTGTATGAGCCCTGTGAATGCAGGGGAGTTGCGGAAGCGTGTGTTAAATGTGATCGAAGAGGCATTGACGGAGGCATCGCAGCAACACCCTAGTGAAGACGGGAAAGAAGGGTCGACGGGGTCGACTGAAAAATTGAGAGATTTTTTTGTGACGGTGCACATTGACGAGTCATCCATCGTGTTACCTTCCTCCACCTCGGGCGTGGCTTTGAGCGCGCACGCGGTGTCCATGCCGTACGCCGTCATGCCGCCACCCGTTACCTTGGAAATCCGAGGTGAAGGACGGAGGTCGCCGGACGTTAAGCATTCGCAGTGGCTGAGGGACCGACAAGGCCTGGAGCGCTTCCGTGTCGGGCCAGGGGGCGAAGTTGCCCTTTCCCGGTCACTACCAGCGGGACGGGGGGAGGAAGAAGGGAAGGCGGGGAAGGCCGGAAGGGAGGTGCTCGAGGGTCTGGTAAGCAACATCTTTGTGGTCAAGGGTGGGAAGCTTCTGACTGCGAGCGATGGGATTTTGCCAGGGCACATGCGTACCATGGCGTTGAGAGCCGCGGAGGCACTGGGCGTGCCCGTGGGCGATCCGGAGGAGAAAATATTGTTAGAGGACATCTTGGAGTGGGAGGAGGCGTTTCTGACGGGCTCAGGACGCGTTCTGGTGCCGATCGGGAGGGTGGAAGGGACCAGCGTGGGTCTTCCCCCGGTGGATTTAGCGGCCGCGCCGGGGCCCATCACCAACCTGGTGCGTGCCCGCTTGTTGTACGATATGGAGGATGGCTGGGAAAACCTCAGGTCGCTGGCAAGCCGTTGAGCAAGAGTGGGTAAGCGGGGGGATGGAAAGCACTGGGAGAGCATGCACGAACTGGGTGACAAGCACCAGGGCGTTCCTACTCCTCAGCGGGGGGGGGGGGGGATGGTTCGTTTTCCAGCCGTGTCTTGCCGCCTTATGACAATTAAAAGGGCTTCCTGGTTCCCGTGGACGCATGCTTTTACGAGAAGGACGGTAGAAAAAACTCCATCGAGGGAGAAGACTCTTTCCATTCCACGGGTCTACCACGGTGGCACGTTTGGATTTCCAAGGGAGTGTACATCCTTTTCTGCTTGAGCGTATGGGCAAATATGGCACTACTCACTCTTTCTACTCCTCTCCTCCCCCCCGCAGGGTAAAGGAGGGCAAGATTGCCTCTAGATATGGACAGAACGTTTTGTTTAGTCGGTGGAAATACAATACGCTGATGGAAAGGAAAAGGAGATTACAAATTGATTCGATGAAATAACGGACGCAGGGTGACGAAGTCCCTTCTAGATATTGATTGTTCTGTCTCGGGCGGGGTCCTCCGCATCCTTGTCATTTAAAAGAGCGCCAAAGATATGCCTCCTGCCTCCCTGCGTGGGACGGAAATGGGGGAAGCTCGCA